CAGCGATTAGGCTCACACATTACACAACTTTTCACTAGGAAGAATTGCTAACTGCCCTCAACCAAAGATCAATTATGACTCCTCCCCCCAAACTTTCCCGTGCCCTGTATCTGGTCTCTCATTGGCTGTGGGTCATCGCCAATGTCATTTCAAGTCAAAACAAATGTCACACTTCAGGACTGTGTGACTATCCCAGCGTCTCAGCCTGGATGGATGGTCAGTCCACCACAGGGCTCACACACACAGACTTTTCCCTAGTCATTTTATGAGAAACGTGAGGCAAAGTTGATACTTAAACTAACCATAACTGAGAACTCCATTAAGTAATGAAGAGGAACCTCTGAGCACGTACAGGGTTGGTGCTAGTCTGCATATAAAGACCACTAGGAGAGATGTTACAAACACACACACACACACACACACACACACACACAGCCGCACAGCAGATGGGAGTAATGAAATCACACCCTCTCACACACCCTGCACTAATGAAGTCACAGTCATCTCTAAAGAGGCCCTAAGTGACAGATATTTTATCTTGACTGTAATTGTTGGTAAATTGCTTTGTGTTAGACACAATGAATAAAGATACAACACTGCATTAATTTCCTCTCAGGGTCCTAATGACTGTATCTCTCGTGAACAGACGACAGCTGATCATTCACACACAGAGACACGGCAGAGAGAGAAAGCGAGTGCAGAGCCTAGTGAGACGCATTTTTAGGCTTCATAGATGCTCTTCTGACATGACGGCTGTACCAAATGGTAGCTGTGTTGGCCAAACTCGAAGGCAACATTGCTTGTGTCTTTCACACTTAAGGCAATCCCAGAATGCATTGTGACAAGCTCTGTGAAAAGATGGCAGATGGGGTCAAAAGAAACATGGTGAAAACAAAAATGTATTTAATTTAATAATTATCAAGTAAAATCAACTAAAAATGAACAATTTCACCCAATATTTGTGTTATGTAATTTTAATGCTCATTATGGAAACATGTTGTTAGCTTAGCAACATGTTAATGTCAATTACAACTCAAAGTCCTACCATAAAGCAGCTCTGCAGTGTGTTCATGTTTTTACTGCATCTGACCTCAACAGACTGAAAAGAAGAAATGGACCAGAGATTTCCACTCAAAAAAGGCGGAGCCCTAGAGCCACACCCACTCATTGCATCATCACCACTGACTGTTTCCAGTGTGTTTCGAACTCCAAACCTTGGTTTTGCCCTGATTTTGTTCAAAATTACGTCACACCAGTTTGTTCTTAGATTTTACTTGAAGTATTACTCATTCAAACTGACAAAAGTTTGTGACCCGCATGCTGCCATTTTTGCTTATATGCACTCAATTCTGGACTTTTTTTAATCCAATCACCTGAACCCTAAATGTCACGTGACACTCAGCTATCCCGAGACAGAGCTGCAAATCAGCTGCTTATGAGGTTCACTGGAATGCTGCCTATAAAGACAGCAGAGAGCAAGACACCTCACTACAGAAGAAAGACAGATTCAGTAAGACAGGAGCGTGAGAGACAGATGGGTGAAGAGGGAAAGAGAGGCATGCTACGCTATAAAGTAAAGCAGAAGGATGCATTAAACAAGTTCAAGCAGCAATAATGAGCTGTGTGATCATTAACAGCTCTAAATATTACCCTCAGACTCAAATGGGAGCGAACAGATGAGGTAATGGGGTGTCATTCACATAAACAAGGATTTATGCTGCCATAAAGTAAATAAGGCATATTGAAAAACACACAAACACTTGTGCAATCATTCTAAGCATGCAGAATCTGAGGTTAGAAAATTGGCTGATGATCTTTTACTTAACGTTTTAATTTAAGAGCATAACAGGCAGCACTTCCCAAACACCCCGGGGTGAATTAACGTTACACTACTGAGTGCAGTAATTCAGAGCTAAAACATGCATCACTAGCCACCGTATACTAATCTAATTCTAGATATATTGGTTACACTTTATTTTGACTGTCCACCTTAGACATTGAAAGTAACTATAAGTAACTTTAAAACTTCAAGTCAACTAGTTCTTATTGGAGTATTAGGAAACTGTTAGATTAGGGTTAGAGTTAGTGGAATAAGTTGACGTACTTGCAAAGTTACCTATAGTCAGTAGAAAGTGTGTTGATGGACTATCAAAATAAAGTGTTAACAGATATTAGGCAGACAGTCTACTGATACTCTAATGACTTCTAGTTGTACACTGTAAAATACTGCCAGGAATTTACAGGATTAAAGATGATTATTTTACAATAAATGACTGTAGTCAGAAATTTCCTGTGAAATCGATGCATGCTGGGTCATTTTCTTATAAATGACAGTGAATGAACAGCAGAATGAAGCTAACATCACAGTAATTTGCTGCTCTTGTTTTACTGTGAATTCACATTATAGCGTTTGTCTGTGCCACTGAGAGAAATGTGTTTGTTTACTGCTGTAATTGATTTGAAGTCACCACAATGGTGATCAGTGTTTCACATTTGCTTGGAATTTTGTCATGTCAGAAGTGTGACGAATGAAACATTTGTCAAAATGATGACAAGCCAGAATATGAAATAAGCTAATCGCCTGACTTTAAGTTAGTTAGCATGAGCATGAAGATTTTATTTTAGCATTATTTAAGCACGAAGATTAATCAATAACCTATTTCATATTCATAACTGTTTGTGGATGGATCTTTCACAATAGAGAAGCAACTGTTGAGATGCGTCTTTGAAAGATGTGACTTCAATACTCGACATTCAAAACACAAAAATAGTAACGTTCAACAAATAAAAACAACACTTAAAACATAAACCAACATTACAAAATAAACAACACAAACTGCTAAAAGTGAACCATAAACAGGTTCAATGGCACACATAAAACCAACAAGAATAAAAGAACAAACAAAAAAACAACAACTCTACAGCATGATATATTCATGCTGCATTGCATGCTAGGAGCCTTTATAGCACATACAGTATGCACTGTAGAAACACAGTATGATGCTGTTTGGTTACAAGACATTCCTGAAGGTGCAGTTAGATACAAGAGAAGTCCCTCTGTGAAATTACTGTGAAACTAGTATTAACCTGGAATATACTGTAATTTCATTCTGAAATCTTTAACAGCGTAGTTGCAGTTACTTATAATTAGTAGAATGTCTAAAGCTGAATATTGAAATAAAGTGTTACTTAAAAAAAAAAAAATACTATGAGAAAATGTTTTGAGGTTTATTCTTAAAACAAGAAAACATGTGCAAATTTGGTATAAAAATGTATTTTAGATAACTGCTTCACAAGTACTTGTTTTAAAGATGTTTAGATATGTTATTGTAAAAGAAGTCATAAATACTGATTGAAAAAAAAATTATATACAGTAATTGCTATAAATAAATATATATATATATAAAATGTTATATATTCAGATGTGGGGTGCCATTGAGCAGATTTTCTGAAGAGCTGATTGGATGCTGGCCGTGCTGTGATGCAGAAAGTTGGTCTGCTGCATCCTCCACAACACAACAGATCATCCTAACTTTTTTTTTTGGCAGTATTTACACCCTTATCTGATTTACATAATTTTCTAAATCAAGTGTTAAAACAACACAGACAGCATGTGCAAATACGAGACACTACGAGTGAGCGCAATTCAGTTTTAGTGAATGCCCATGTTCTGTGTTGTATGTACAGCACCTGTGGCCAGCTGCACATTAGCTTTGCACTTCCTACATGTTTATAGTTCCAAATTAAAATGTGCTCACAGCATGTTTGTGATGCAGATGTGTGTGTGTGTGTGTGTGTGTGTGTGTGTGCTCACCTGTATGGCATTGGTGACGTTCCAACCCGCCTCCCAAGTTGTGATTCTCGGCCGTGTGCTGTGAGCGCCGTCCTCACAGGAACCATCTGAGCGAAATGCAGCCGGACTTTCAGGACTGGCAGCCCGAGAGTCACACCTGCAAACGTTTCCATACATCTGAGAAAGCTCATCCCTCACCACCAGACCTCGGTTCTCCTCAGCACCCGCATGCAAGCGCTTCATCCAGAGAGCCTCCACACGGCTCGTCACCCAAGAAAGCTGAGAACGTGACATAGCTCAGCAGCTGAATGTGGAAAGAGTGCACAGAACTGCTTGGCTTTCACAGCTTTACCTCACACGAAGTGTCTCAATCCAGCCAAACTCAATGACATCCATCAGAAATGTCGTTCTGTCCAGCCAGATGCCAGTCTGAGCGCTGCAAATGCATAACGGAGATCCGGGCCATCGCACCTGTGCATCCATTTTAAATTGTGCAGAGGACTGACAGGCCGATGAAACGTAACATTATAATCACTTAAAAACGTGTGTTTGTTTAGAAAATGTTTTGCTTTTCATTTAGTCAGAATGAGGACGGTCTGCTTTTGGAGAATACAGATGAGACCAAATGTGTGAGTCCAACACTAGAGGGTGCAGAAGAAGTCCAGAAACTCCAGAGCATACCTACTCACCCCGAGGAAAAGAAAGGACTTTTTCATCTGCGGAGCACAAAAGAAGATATTATTTTCCATAAACTAACAAGCAATTGGCCCTGGACCCTTCAAGCTTTAAAAAACTGTATATACTTATTTTGAAATTATTATAATAATGGTCTATGCTACTTTATTCTCACCACATTTCAATTCATTGGTCTAGGGTAAATACATTTAATTTGTATAATTTCATAGAAAAACTATTTTTGTAACACAAAACTACAAAAGTGAATTGACATAAATATCATTGTTTTTTTCAACAAAATGTAACATTTTCTGTTTATTTTATTTGAGGTTTTAAAGACGTTATTTGGAACTTTTTTTAAGTTTAAAAAAAACGTTTATGGAGTTGTAATTAGAGAACGTTTCAGTGTTTTACACTTTTTCTGCTTGAGAGTTTTCCAGTAGAGGAAATGCAGAGGAATGTGATCTCGGGACGCCCCCTCCTCAAAGCGCCTGGGACAGGAGGGCTGTGCCAGAGGAGCGTCCCAAACTTCCCAAAGTCACTCGTGGAGTTTCTGGAGGCTCCTGGACTGCGTCTGCTGTTCGACTGAGTGCGCATGAAGAACAGGCAGATCAGGACATGAACAGATCGTGTTTTGTCGTGCTCCTCGGGCTGCTGTGGCGGTGTTGTGGAGCTCAGCAGAGAGGTGAGTGGACCCAGAGAGAGAGAGAGAGAGAGTGTGTGTGTGTGTGTGTGTGTGTGTGTGTGTGAGTGAGTGAGAGCACATTACGCACTCTGCGAATTCATGTGGCGACTTACTCGTCTGAAATATAGGTTGTATGTATTTTTTGTTTCTTAGTGATTACGGCCGACTGCTAGAATTCAAACAATGCTATATATGTTCTGTGACTTACTACTGATATAACAAACTAACAATATAGTTAGATATTGAACTTACATTGCTGCATCGACCTGACTCTGTGCTGTGTTTAGTTTTTTTTTTAATTCAAATCTTTGTTTTTCATTGAAATCAATGTAAGGGAAACAGGTCAATAATTTAGCTCAAAGGGAATCATTTAAGATTTTAAAGGGAACTCCACTATTAATATGCAAAGGAATTAGGACAGAATCACTGTTTTACGGCGGATCACTGAGACGGCCAGCGAGTCAGTGAGCGAGCCGTATGACATCAATTCTGCAATGGATATTTATATCCAAGGGGGTTAGGCTTGCTTCAGCCTGGCTAATGCTCGGGTCTGATTTATAACATCCTGTTGTCTTGGGCCTCTGTGGAATTTTTGTGCTCCTAATGTTTGACCAAATCTTAGATTGTCTGATTCGGTCTGATATCCTACATCAACCACTTGCATGCCCCCACTTTTCACTATTACATTACAATTTGTCTTTGTCTCTGCACTTTCTGCTCAACCCTATTATTCTGTCTAATTTTCTTGAGCACTTGGCTCAAACAGAGATGAGTTTCTCTAGCAAACTTTATCAGTATTTCATTACATTTAATTTTCTATTGGTTCAGTTGTTCAACTCTGTTATAGAAAAAAATCATGGTGACATTTTTGTCTAAGCACAAGTCAAAACAGTGAATAATGTGCTGTGGTGCAATGAAACCATTGGTCATTTGCACTGCTCTTCAGCCCTGTTACATTGAAGCCACAAATGTCATGTTATTTATTTTATTTTTATAAGTACTTTTGTAATCTACTTTCATCATTATGTGTGAGTACAAACGGTGAAACTGAGTGATACTACCAGAATTTGTGCTGTTTAAATTCTCTTTAATATATATATATATATATATATATCATCGCTTTCATAAACAATCTGTTTTGCAGTAGATGCAATATTCTTCAGTGAAAATAACGGTCAATATGTTGATGAAAGTTCTCACGCTCTCTAACCACTTAACCTCTATTCCGACACATGAGCAGTGGTCTACTTTCAGCTTTCTAACACAAGTAATCAAAGCTTTCTTCACTGAGAACCCTTGAATGAAATCAATTTGTGAGCATCAATTAACAATCTGTTTTGCAGTAGATGCAATATTCTTCAGTGAAAATAATGGTCAATATGTTGATGAAAGTTCTCACGCTCTCTAACCACTTAACCTCTATTCCGGCACATGAGCAGTGGTCTACTTTCAGCTTTCTAACACAAGTAATCAAAGCTTTCTTCACTGAGAACCCTTGAATGAAATCAATTTGTGAGCATCAATGCAGGGACCGTGGAGTGGCCTTTTAATATCACGCTGCTTTAAATGCTTTGTTAAGATCCATATTGTTTCATTTCTGCAGCCTCTGAAATGCTAGAATCTTCCAGAGCTGCTTGTGTCAATGGCATTTCTTTAGCAGAGAAGATTAACACAGAAAAAACCTGTGTGAAGCATCTTTCATCTTTCACGTAGTTGCTGTTGAGTGTGTATGTCGACTCACGTGCTGTTCTCTATGCTCAAACACACACTGGGGACTGAGTGTGATCACCAGGTGTGTGTGTGCGTGTGTGTGTGTGTGTGTGTTAGTGGCAGCTAAACCCAGATGTTGGGAGTATTTTTAGAAACTATGAAATAGTGGACTCAGAATGCATAGTCAGTATTCTCTGGGTGCACTGATTGATGAGACAGAAAGAGTTCAGAAATGGATGTGATGCTTACTTTCATCATTATGTGTGAGTACAAACGGTGAAACTGAGTGATACTACCAGAATTTGTGCTGTTTAAATTCTCTTTAATATATATATATATATATATATATCATCGCTTTCATAAACAATCTGTTTTGCAGTAGATGCAATATTCTTCAGTGAAAATAACGGTCAATATGTTGATGAAAGTTCTCACGCTCTCTAACCGGTTACCCTCTCTTCTGACACATGAGCAGTGGTCTACTTTCAGCTTTCTAACACAAGTAATCAAAGCTTTCTTCACTGAGAACCCTTGAATGAAATCAATTTGTGAGCATCAATTCAGGGACCGTGGAGTGGCCTTTTAATATCACGCTGCTTTAAATGCTTTGTTAAGATCCATATTGTTTCATTTCTGCAGCCTCTGAAATGCTAGAATCTTCCAGAGCTGCTTGTGTCAATGGCATTTCTTTAGCAGAGAAGATTAACACAGAAAAAACCTGTGTGAAGCATCTTTCATCTTTCACGTAGTTGCTGTTGAGTGTGTATGTCGACTCACGTGCTGTTCTCTATGCTCAAACACACACTGGGGACTGAGTGTGATCACCAGGTGTGTGTGTGCGTGTGTGTGTGTGTGTGTGTGTTAGTGGCAGCTAAACCCAGATGTTGGGAGTATTTTTAGAAACTATGAAATAGTGGACTCAGAATGCATAGTCAGTATTCTCTGGATGCACTGATTGATGAGACAGAAAGAGTTCAGAAATGGATGTGATGCTCCATCCATGCTGAAAAGACCAGCACTACCCCGAGAAAATTGTCTGTTGTTTTTTCCTACAGATCAATGGTAGTTTCTCGGCTGGAGCAGGACTCTGTGGAAATATGTGACCTGCTCGCTGCCTCCAGAGTAGTGTAGTTTTACAGGGGTTAACTTGACCATATTAGGTATAACAAAAACCTGCATGTGCTGCGGACACCAGCCTTCATAGCTTCAAATATAAGACTTTCCTGGTAATCTGCTTTGCTGCACTAAACAGCACTGGACCTGCATGGGAATTCAGGCTGGCCTAAGCTGGTCTTTTCAGAGGGTTTCTGCATAGCATGAGCAGTTTGATGTGCTGTCAGAGAGCTTTGTAGTCTCACAAAAATCCAACAGCCACAGAAATCCCCAGAGAAAGTGTGTGAAAGCAGCAGACAGAATATGCTTACATGTGCGATCCGTCATGAGGCTTTTCCTCTTATCAAAATCAATACTTGGTTAATGTGGCACTGAGCTCTAGATGTGATGCTGGTTAGTGGCTCACAGATGCGTGTGGGTTGTACAGTCACAAAGTCAAATTTATTTACTGTTTAAAGAAGCATGTCTGATATACTGTAGATATGCTGTAGGTTAAAATGTAATGTATTCCTGTGATGCAAAGCTGTATTTTCAGCATCATTACTCCAGTCTTCAGTGTCACATGATCTTCAGAAATAATTCTAATATGCTGATCTGCTGCTCAAGAAACATTTCTGATCATTATCAAAGCTGGGAACGGTTGTGCTGCTGAATATTTATGTGGAAACCGTGATACATTATTTTTTTATTAGAAAGTTCTAAAGAACAGCATTTGAAAATAGAAATCTTTTGCATCATTATACATGTCTACTGTCACCTTTGATCAATTTAATGCATCCTTGCTGAATAAAAGCATTCATTTCTTTAAAGCCCAAACTTCTGAATGGTAATGTAGATAGAGCTAGAAAGAGAAAATCATCTTTGTGGCTATTATGCACGTTCAGGCTTTGTCTCTGTAATACCTCTGTCAGAAAAAAAAAACTGATTTCAGAATGCTTGAGGAGGAAAATCAATAGGTAATTCCACAACAGCGCCAATGAATAGCCCAGTCCAATCAGGTCTGACTTTATCCTGGTCACCGCTGATGAACAGATGCAAAAAGTACGCTCTGATGGATTGTTTTCAATGTTTTACCGATTGCTTGACGTTGATTTGCTTGCACACAACACGAATGGCCTCTAGGCTTATTTATGTTTGAGCAGAGAATGGTTGGAGTATAATGACAGAGAGAGAGAGAAAGAGCAAGAGAGCAGGGAGATTAATTTAGTTTGACATTTTCAGCATTGTTCTGTTGAAGGCATTGAGTTGCAGTGCTCCAAATTTTACTCTAATGTTTCCATTTTTCCCTGCAGTCCCTTTGCAAAAATTACCTTTAGGGGTTCAAAAGCTTGTCATAGGGGCAATAGTATGACATAGTGAGGATATGGAGGAAAAAAACAGCTTGGTTTCATTCAAAGGCCCAAACTGAGAAAATATGCAATTTGCTTCAGATGCTGATAATTATATGATGAAATTCTGATCTTAATTAGATCTTTATAACAGTAGCCTACAGCAGATACTGACATAAAATGATCAAAATATCAGTTGTCACTATATATCTGAAATAATACGTTTTAGTTTTAGTTAAGTTTATTTTATTTACTGAGCACTTTTACACAACCGACCATTGACCAAATTGCTGTACAATATGTATACACATGAAAGAGACAATCATAACCATAAGAACACAACACTAAAACCAAAAAATAAAATAACAATGAAAATGAAACCCTCAGTTTTAATACACAGACAATTAGTGCGAGGAGGTGTTCTTTAAGGTTGTTTAAAAACACTTACTGTGGGTGCCAATCTGAGAGAAAAAGGTAAACCTTTCCAGAATTTAGGAGCTATCGCTACAAAAGCTTAATCTCCAGTTCTCCGTTTAGTTTTAGGAATCATCAAAGCCAGCTGATCAGCTAACCTTAAAGACCATTCTGGCTCATGTTTCTCAATCAATTTCACTAAATACTACGGAGCCATACTGTGCAAAGATTTATAAACAAAAAACAAAATTTTAAAGTTGATTCTTTAATGGATCGGTAGCCACTGTAAAAAACTCAGAACTGGAGTAATTTGTTTACCAACTTATAGCGAGTTGCAGTGATCAAACCTTGTAAATACAAAAGCGTGAATGACATTTTACAGATCATGCATTGACAAAAATGGTTAAAAAAAGAGACGTGACATGTGGCCAAGTA